TCTCTCTTTCATTCTTTCTCTCTTTTCTTCCTCTTTTCTCTCTTACCCTCCCTCCCTTCCTCCCTCTCCTTCTCCCTCCGCCTCTTATCTTTTATAAATCTCTCCCACTCTCGCATTCTTCCCTAATTCTTCTATCCATTTAAACTCGAAACTTCAGTGAATATTCCCTCATAACGAAAGAAATTAAAACAGAACCGCCGAAAAAAATGGAAATGAATTTAACGAGAGGAGCGCGCTTGCGAGCACATGATTACACGGGTCTTTGCATCATAATGTGTGAGGTGACTCGTGCTGGCGGTTGGGCTAGCCACTTGAGCCTCACTCTCGTTGGGAAAAAAAGGAAAAAATAAAGAAAATAAGTTGTGGTTGAGATAATTAAAGAAAAGTTGTCTTTACTTTGTTTTTATTTGTTTGTGTGTTTTTTAAAGGGTGTAAGTGTTATATTTCTTGGGCTTTGTTTCTCTCTTGTTCTCTTTCTTTGAACGATAAAAAAAAAAAAAATCAACTGCAATGGCAGTTCTCTCTAATCTTTCGTATTTATTTATTTATTTATTTTACTTTCTCGCATTATCCATCTATATGTCGTCTGTCTGTCTGTCTTTTCAAGTATAATTACCACGATCATCAAAACGTTGCAATGGATTTTTCGATATTCATTCTTTCTCTTTCGAATTATCTCACATTTCCTTTTGTTTCGTAGCTAAGCATTTGCTCCGGACTTCCCCTTCCCGGCCTCCAGCAACAAACACACACGCACGCACAACCGTACAACCACGCCTATATGCACACAATCAAATATAAACACATACTACCATACGTGTTTGTGTGTGTGTGCGTCTCTTTTTACGTAGAGTCAAACATACTGTAAAAAAAATCGGAAAACTAAGTAAAATGATAAAATGATAAAACAAGAAAGAAAGAAAGAAAGAAAGAAGAAGAAGAAGAAAAATATATATACATATATATATAACAGGAAGAAGAAATGATGAAAACATCACTCACGAAAACAACAGCATGGAAATATGTAATTATGCAGACAAGCTGACATGCGGTCCGACCTTAATAAGAAACAAATACAAAGAAAAAAAAAGAAAGAAAAAAAAAATCTTTGGTATGAATTTCATTACTTCACGAAATGAGACACAGCAGGTCGTCTGTGTTAAAGTTTTCACTGTTATTGTTTTACCGTGATAAGATTATGCGTCATGAGATGAATTCATTTGTAAAGGACAGATACATCGCGCGTTTGCATGTAATGGTGAATGACAAATGTGTGGGGTGGGGGTGGGGGGTGGGGGGGAAGAAAGGATTTTTTTTTTTTTTTTTTTGTGTGTGTGAGTGAGTGAGTGAGTGAGGGGGACAGGGAGAGAGGGAGGGAGAAAAGAGAGAGAGAGTGAAAGTGAAAGGGAGAGCGGGAGGGAGGGAGAGAGGGAGAGAGAGAGAGAGAGAGAGAGAGAGAGAGAGAGAGAGAGAGAGAGAGAGAGAGAGAGAGAGAGAGAGAGAGAGAGAGAGAGAGAGCATCTGTGTATCTATCCCATTCTCTCCTTCTCTTTATTTTTCTCAATTTCTCTCTTTCTCCGATATCTACCCTACCTTCTCTCTCCGCTACCTCTCTCTTTTTGTGCCTCTCTCACTTCCCCCTACCCCGCCCCGCTCGTTCACACACACACACACACACACGCACACACACACACACACACACACACACACACACACACACACACACACACACACACACACACACACACACAGACACACACACACACACACACACACACACACACACACACACACACACACACACACACACACACACACACACACACACACACACACACACATACACTCACGTTCACACTAACCACTTACCACTTTCACTCTCACTCTCACCCACACTCAGGCTCACACTCACAACTCTTACTTACACTCACACTCACGTTCACCACTCTCACTCTCACTCACACTCACACTCACACTCTCACTCACGATCACCACTCTCACTCTCACTCACACTCACACTCTCACTCACACTCTCACTCACGATCACCACTCTCACTCTCACCCTCACCCACATTCACACTCACACTCACGATCACCACTCTCACTCACACTCTCACTCACACTCACACTCACTCTCGCACCCTCATTCACTCTCTCTTCTAACCAATGCTGAGATAGCAATTATTGGAAGAAGGAATTTGACTGTGAAGATAAAGCTAGATTGAGCAATTAATTGAAATGAATCGCCATAGAAAAATGCTGGGAAAAGACCTTGGATCAAGAGAGGGAGAGGAAGAGGAAGAGGAAGATGATAATGAAGAAAAAGAAGAAGAGGAGGAGGAAGAGGGAGAGGGAGAGGGAGAAGAAGAAGAAGAAGAAGAAGAAGAAGAAGAAGAGGGAGAGGGAGAAGAAGAGGGAGAGGAAGAGGAAGATGATAATGAAGAAAAAGAAGAAGAGGAGGTGGAAGAGGGAGAGGGAGAAGAAGAAGAAGAAGAAGAAGAAGAAGAAGAAGAAGAAGAAGAAGAAGAAGAAGAAGAAGAAGAAGAATGAGGAGGAGAAGAAGAAGAAGAAGAAGAGGGAGTGGGAGAGGAAGAGCAAGAGCAAGTGGAAGAGGAAGAGGTAGAGGTAAAAAAAGAAGAAGATGAAGGAGAGGAAGAGAAAGAGAGGAGAGGGAGAATGATTCACTGGAAGGAAAGCAAAGACACACAACGGCTGCTCTACAACCGTTGACATCATGCACGCACATGCAAGCAGATGCATTAATACAAAGAGATTAGTTTGCAAAAAAGAGCTGTACACACACACACACACACACACACACACACACACACACACACACACACACACACACACACACACACACACACACACACACACACACACCCA